GTGGTATCACTCCGGTCGTGCCGAAAAATTCGAGCTGAAGCATGGCTCTCCCACACTTATATAAGTATATACATCCACATCATTTATTTATTTATATTACTTTCTAAGCAACCTTTGTATGACTGCAGTGCTTAAGGTGTCAAGTTCGACTCGGTTCAAAAATAGAAAACTGAATGGTACTTATAAAAAAATAATTGGGATCCAACCCATATTTTTTTGTAATATGAGGCAATGTATCTAGATTCTGCCGATGACAATTGATGGCCACGTTAAGTAAGAGTTACAGCCTGTTTTACCGCTTTCTTATAATTAATTGGTAAGTTATATACCACATAGTTCATACAAAACCCGTTAAAATTTATCGGGTACATAGTGGCACCAAGACATTGTTAGTACCGTAGTTTATCTTAATCAAAGGCCCAATCCTTCCCCTCCCCCAATCCGTCCTCAATCCCTAAATCTTCAAATCCCTAATCCCTAAAAGGTCGGCAACGCACTCGTAACTTCTCCGTTGCGAGTGTCCATGGGCGGCGCTGATTGCTTACATTCAGGTAATCCGTCTGCTCGTTTGCCGACCAATTACATAAAAAAAACACTTGTACAATAGAACAATTTTTAATTTTCAAGAATGTGCTAATAGTTCTTTTTTATACAATTTGTATAATAGCAATTGTAATAAAACGTTATGTGACGGCTGTGCGCGAGTACTCAAGGAATTGCCATTACGTAGTCCCTTTTTCTCATATACATATAGAACTTTATTAATAAAATCTGTTTTTTATGTGATGGGACGGAAAACTGGCAGATGGATTACGTGATGGTCAGCAATCAGCGCCGCCCAGGGGCTCCCGTAACAACAGAGGAGCTACGAGTGCTTTGCCGACCATTTGTGGATAAGATATTTGAAGATTTAAGGGTTAGGGAGGGATTGACATTGTTTTGTTAGTAGAAAATCATCAAATAACTTCTGGGTTAGGCGAGAAGAAGTGTCAGACTCTTACTGACTAAAAACCTCCGTTCCTTCTCCTGCTCTAGGTCGAGGACGCGGTGCCTCATTGCGCTTACCCCGCAACACCGGCTAAAACAGCCTTGTCCCGTCGGGTCCTGTGTGTGGTGGTCTATTGACTCGAGCGGCGCGCGCGGAGTGTTACGAGTCGTACGCCTGGGTCTGGTTCTGGTCTGGCGGCTACTCTTACTCGCCGTCCGCAGACCCGCGCTTACGGTAGTCGGAGATCGTCTCTGGGTCCCCGACGCTTGGAGTGTCGTCTACTGCGGTGCGACGGCTGGAGCGTGAGGAGGATAGCTCCCTCATGGGATCCATTTCCCTCTCTGCGACCATTACTGCTTCTCAGACAGAGGAGACGGCTTCCCATTTCTTCTCACTCCGCAATATGGCCTCTACTATGGTCAGGCGCGAGAGTTCGCCGCCGTCGCGGCGTCGGTCGTCGGGTTCCATAAGAACACGACGGTGCTCAGCCCAAGCCGGGCACTCCGCCACAGTATGCACCGTGTCTTCTGGTCCTTACAATGATGACACTCGGGCGTTTCCTCCCGTCGGATCTGAAACAGGAACCTACCGAAGCTGCCGTGTCCGGTAAGCACCTGCATCAGGCGAAAGGTGAGGAAGCCATAGCGTCTTTCAAATTACTCCTTAAAGAGGGCCTTAGTGCTCTATAACAGCGTGCCCAGACGGATTGAAGTGGGGGAAGGATTGAACCTCCGGTAACCTCACTCGCACGACGAAACACAACGCTGTGGTTTTTTCACGTCGGTTTTCTGTGAACCCGCGGCGAGCATTGCATTTTAAATACCGTAAGCAGGACATTTATTTAAATCCGTGATTGATTTTTTCATATTTTTATTAATTTTTCAAGTGAATTTCATTTGTTGTTTTTACTTGCAAAGTATTACTTAATATACTACTAAATATCGACAATTGTTACTTCTTGTATAATTTAGTAAGCTATCTACTCGTATCCGAAATATTATCGGTTGTTCTTCATAAAATAAGATGATTCAATGAAATTTTAATATGGATACTACAAAAGTTACAGACAAGGGAAGAGCTTTGGTCGCCCTCAAAAGATGTGCGGGAAGTGATAACTTTGTTATCAACGTCGTCTCAATAAGATTACATCACGATACCCCTCACTAGAGTATAACTTGATTTTGATGTTGAATCATCAAACTTCTTTTTTACCCGTGTGTATAGAAAAAACTTTTTGGTTTTCATAGGCTGTTAGTATAACAGATTGTTGTTAAAAGTTCCGGCAAAAATGACTCGCGGAACTATGTTTTAAAAATCCAAACAATAAGACATTTTAACCAACAGTTGTGATGTCATCATGCCCTTAAAAAGATTTTAAAAAGCATCCAAAATCAAATTGAGTGGCTAAAGGCTAACTTTAAACAAATAACTGAAGCGAAAAAATATGTTGCCGCTGAGTGATTTCATTTTAATGTAATAGTATCTACATTTATTCTATACGTTCCCTCAGGCGAAACCCGAATTTATAAAATATATATCATTACGTATAGCTAATACAGAAAATATTTAATGTCAATAAAAGGTGTTATTACATCGGAATTACGAATTTATGGTGTAAGAGAGCGCTCGTTTGCGCCAAATATGGCCCTACCGCAATATTCTTTTCATCTTTATGCCCAGTGACTATTATAAAAAGATTTTTATGTAATAACGCCTGCAAAATATATATTTCTTTCAAGATAAATGCAAGTACTCGTTCGTCGTCGAGTTTATAACCTATTGTTTTTTATCATTCTTGTAACAAAACTTATTTTGTGAACAATTCTGATAAAATACTACCCAACAATTAATAAATACATATTTCGAGTTAATTTGTGCTCTGTTATATCTTCAGTTTTTTTAACAACCTGTATTTCAGGTATGTACATGTTAATAATAAAATTGAAGGCTTCGTTGCCAATAAGTAAGGTATCTTTACGTTTTTAAAATATAAAATAAAGGACAGTAGGTACAAATATATATTTTGAATTTCTTTTTTTGTTCAGGTAAGCAATATATTTTCATGGTTATCAAGACAACAACGTCTAGCAAAAAGTTTTTACTGTAATCTACATTAAAACAAAATTTGTTTCGATGCAGATATGTAAATTAAGTATATCTGAAGAAATCGCGTGTCTCGAATCGTGCGTAAAATTGGTGGTCTTGTTAATGAAACACCTTGGCCCGAATCAATATAAACCCAGATTTTATCGCCGGCTCACCACAAAACTTCATTTCATGACCCTTGGCCGAATCCGCTGCTACAAAATGCGTATAACGATAAGAGTCTGAAATTAAATGCGTGATATAGAGGTATACACAACTTTTTGGTAAACTTATTCAACTTCTAATAAACTTATACAAAACTTTTCTGAAGAAGACATGTATTATTTTATTCACATGTTTCTATTGAATAAGTTTACTCATTTTTTATTACAAAACTTACCAGTAACTGGAGATATTCAGCAGCCGGTTCACCCAACAAAAAAAAGTTATCTACCCGCAGAAGTGCGGGAACCGCGGAACGAAAAAAGGTGTTCAGAAAGTTGTTAGAATGCTTTAAATCGGATCATTTTGATTCTAACATATTTATTTTTTGTAAAGAAAAATATGAACGTTTAGAAGTAGTTAAGAATTTTAAAAGTAACTTAGTAAAAATTTCATCTTGTCGAGATGCGAGAATACGTGTGTCTGTTAAGGCTGCTCGGGGGGCACGCGTGCCTTCGAGCGCTCCTCGACGGACACTGAAAGCTTCGAGGCTCTCTCTGTAGAAGCTTATTCGGTGGTTCCAGTGCGCTTCACACCTGCGCACTAGCGTTTACCTTTGACCATCTACCTACGCGCCATTTGCATTTGAACATGTTTTTATAGAACTATAATTAGTTATTGTTTTACATAATGTACTTAAGGTCATTTTGCCGAATATATTGAAGAATGAGAGATTTAAATAGTTATATCTTAAGTTTAAGTTTTAAATTATTAAGTAAATTAGTTTACTGGGAAGTTTTGAACTTTATTTTAATAATTTAAATTATGTAATTAATTTTTATAGCTTTGGAAACGTAATTACGTAAATATTTTAATTTATAATGTACCGGGTTCCTATGATACGATCGGGCGGTAAGGCGAGCGCTCGGTAGCTACTCGTAGGCCTGCTACGAAGTGCTACGAGCCGCTACGGTGCTGATAATTACGTATTTTTGGTATACTACGATTCATTTCTATTTTTAGATATAAATAAACTTTGAAGTAGTTTTTAAATTGGATTATTTGAAGTTCTACTTCCATAGGCTTTATTTAATATGAAAAATGCTTTACACGCAGTTTTATTAATTGAATAGTTTGTATCGATCTAATTTGTTCGTGTTGGTTCTCTTCGCGGCTAAGATAGAGCAGTTAAAATGAAACACTGATTTCAGTCGAGCGAAGTTCGTGTTTCACGCGATTAGCACATAAACAAAGTTCGATTTGACGTCAAAACATGGGCTGAACTATTTCAGCAATACTTATAAATAGACTGGCAAAAAAAACTGGCTATGGTTTTATTCACCAGAAACCTTACGTGTCAATAAGCCTGTTTAGCCATACAAATAAAGTAATCAAAAGATTAAAAGAAGGTAGCTACTGTTTCTTTAATAAGCAAATTATAAATAACCTCCGCGTATCCTACCTCAGGTGTAGGTATTAATGGTAGCAAGATTGAAGAGAGTTTTTTTAATTTAATTTTAGAAAGTTTTTGTAATTTTTCTTACTGCTTTTAGCACTCATGTAATGTAGCTACTCGTAGCTTTATATCTTAGGTTGTTTTGTCGCTTGATAAATGTGGTCTTTAAGCCTCTAATCATCGATGCGCACTTGTAGTACTTACACAACACAGAAAGCAAATGGAACATAGTAGCGATGGGAATGATTACTTTATAAAATAAGAAGTAATTATTTTAAATTTAAGATAAGTAATGTTTGGTGCAGTTACCTCAGAGTTCTCGGGGATAAGTTGCTTTCTTCTGATGTTAGACTCGAGGTAGCGCGGGTCTTCGCCAGACACGGCGCGCTGGTACGACAGCCGTCGGCCTTTAGAGTCTGTCTTCGGCTCCACATTGTTTTCAGGTATGGCAGAGAAGTCTTGGTACGAGTGGTATAAGTTTATCTCCCTGCTCTTCTCGTCTTGTATGACTCGCCGCAAGTAGTTGGTCAGCCCTTCACTCGCCAGCCACGTGACCCTGAAGTGTAACAAAATTGATTGATGATATGGCTACCACTACTCATCGCATCGCCTCGCTACGTATCAATATCAAGATGGCAACTTGAAACAATATCGATTTCTTACAAAAACATTCTGTTCTTAAAGGGTTTAACATTAATAATAAAACGCTTTCAACCCTAGTTTAATCTTTTTCGATGAAATTCATAAATAGTTTTGTAAGAAGATGTTTTTATCCAAGTTAAAGGTATTTAATGATCAGCGGATTTTATTTAGCGAAATAATACCTGTTTTGAAGATTATTTTTTATCTTAATTTATATAAGAACCTGTTCTATTTGCTGGAAAGTTTATTTTTTAAACAAATAATCTTTTTCTGATTAATTAAAATATCGGTATCATTGCATTGTCTAGCTTCGAATGCATTGTGTTATGTGTTGTTAATTTTGTGATTATTATAGGACTGTCACATAACTGGAGATAAATAACTGTTAGCTATAATATTATTCGCCACATATACTATTTGCCTATACACATTTAACTACCTTCTTTTGGATTTCGGTAAGAAAATATAAACCTAATAACTTTCAATAACTGTAGAATACCACAAAACTAGTTACAAATTTGTAACTAATATGAGACTTAGCGGGTCCAATCTTTAAATTTTTAAATTCCGCAACCAAAAATTTATCAACAAATAGAACGCGGAATGAAATCGCAACTTCTGTGCTTTTGAAGTGGTATAGAATTGTAAAAACAAACGCTACGTTTTTGTTTCCATAGCAGAGTAAAGAGTTGAAATTACTTTTGTATACAGGCGCTCATACCACATCGTCGCTCAAACGTTTCTCATAAAAAACGTTGTTAGGTTAAATAATACGAGTTGTTTGTTTGTACGTTGTACGGGGACCAAGTTTACCTGTTTTATGCGTTTGTCTTTTAATATTACTACATGTATACGGTACTTTTAGAAGAATTAATTATATGTATGAGTAAATATTTACATACTTTTGTTTTCATTATTTGATTAGTCTCAATTTAAAGACGGAAGTCGAGTCCTTAACCACTTGAATACTGTAACTTAAAATTATAAAATCAATTGGACTACACGGTTGGCGCAGTGGCTGGGCAACTGTGTCGCGCCTTCGCTTCCCGCCCGGAAGAACTCTTTGTGTAATCCACAAATTGTGGTTGCGGGTCTAGGTCTGATGTGTATTTGAAATTGAATGTTTGTCACCACAATACAAAGTTACTTTTAAAACAAAAAAGTCAAAGGAAAGACTTGAGCCAGGTACGGTCATCATCAGTTAAAACCAGTGACAATGTCGAAATATGGATGTTCTGGAATGGATTTAGCAGTTTAAAAAGTTCAGTCTTATCAGAATGCACTGCTTACAGGTCTCGGACACCCATGGTGAAGAGTACCTACAGGAGTTATTGCGCAACAGCACTGGGTAGTTTTTAATTAGGTATTATAGCTCGTACTTAATAAAGTCTCATAATGCCAAAACAACGCGCGGATTGAACTACCGGTTCCATTAATGTAAGCGGTTTTACTGTAAACTAATATTACAGTTCAACTGAGCCACACTACACACCACCACACCACCACACCACCACCACCACAGGGTTAGTTAATATAAGCCGCTGTACTACAGCGGCTTATATTAACTAACCCTTACAATTGCCATCACATCTCTCTTTATCCATCTACACCTTCAAACGAGTAATTGTGTAGTTTCCTAGATCAAAAATAAATTAATTAGACGTTACAATACAATAAAATATTGAAAAATAACTATAGTTTCATGCATCGATCTGTCAATATACAAAACTTCGATATTTTTAGCTAATTATTAAGAAATAAGTAAGCTATTTGACGCAAAAATACTATGGCGTCATTATTTGAAGTTCCATACAAATTACATAGAAAAGTATCATTTTTGACATTGGTTAAAAGTGGTTAAAAGAATTGAATTTTACTAGTTGGAAACTACTGTATTCATATACGGAACCGTCTTCAACGATTTCAATGTAAAGAGGTTAGAAGTAGGTTTAATTTTTAGAAAAAAAAATATACCTTGCTTAGCTCCGTCCCTCAGTTACTGGAATATTAAATGTATAACACATACGAACATAATTTTCATACCTGCAAGACTCAGATCACCGTATGATGAAAACAAACAGAAGTTGCTCTATTTTATTATTGACAAAACAGACGTTACTACGTGCGTTGCAATGCTATTGCCGAAAATCTAGATACTAAGTATTAAATACGGACAAAAATCTAGGAAAACGTTTTAACGTAACTACGACTATTAGGTAGTATATTGTTTAGGCTCCAATTGACCATTAATAATAATCAGTATTATTTTATTTATTAAGACAACCAATTTTTATTGTCTTCGCGTATGGTTAAAGTAACAGTTTATGAAAATTGAAAATTCACTTACAAAGAATATAAATTTTCCTTTGAAATGTAATACACGAGTGCACGTAATTTTAATCATAACTCAAATGCATCATGTTGTAATCTCCATCGGCTTTGACATAGCAATTTTTCCGTGAACATGCATTAGATCCTCTTTGGCAGGTCGTCGGTACAGAACGTGAAGCTAATGTAGTGCTTCGCTATAGCTGACAGCATCCAATTGATTCTCAAGATTAGAGCTGCTGCAATCTCGTAATAGGTACCGCTCGCATAGAAGAGAGTAAAAATTAAACCAAAAAGCCCCCACTTATTCGGTAAGGGCAGCGCTCAACAATACTTAACTGAAAAGATAAGGGAGGTCCCTTTTCGTAATGTAAGCAATTATCTCCCTACTTAGATTTTTATGAGGGCACTCGACACTTTGTTAAATATTGTGTGATAAAAACATTAAATAACAGTTACGTGGTACTTTTGAAATCTGGGCGGCTCCGTGTACCAATTGGAACTTACAACCTCTGTATGGTAAAATAAACTTAGTTAAATTAGTTAAAAGTGTTTGAAGAATCCCATTAGCGTAATCTGACACGGTAGGTCGGAAGTTAGTCGAATATTCCGCTTGTTATGAGTGCATACAGTGACAGTAACTACGTCGCTTATTGCAGGGACATGCACGAGCGGCGGTATGTGGACGACTGCATAGTCATTACATTACGAGTATTTAGCACGTGGAAAGCTGGAATGCCATACCGTTCTAAACGTTTATTCCTATCTAAACCCTTTAAGTAATAATTAACATTGCAAGAAGTAAAGGTGGTGTCATAGAAAGATTATCTTAAATAACGAAGGTTTGGTTTGAATAACATGCTGGTAAGCATCACTTTTAGTGAAGTTACAATATCAGCCTAACTCCCTTCTCAGTATATGAGGAGAGGGCTTGAACATGAATAACCAAGCTTGCCCAAGGCGGATTGGCCGCTAGCATGTAGCGACACGGAGGCAACATACGTTGAGCTGCTTGGGGAAGGAGAGACATCCCACGGCTATAAGAGCAATCCCGAAAGTACGGTCAAGACCCCTACCAGCACCTTCCTTTCTCCGAGTCTCCTTCAACTCCTACTCTTGCGAATCTCCACTCAAGCCAGCAGTAGGAGGGCTGGTTATTCATCAGTGTGAACTCCAGCTCATCACGAGGACTAACCGGAGATGAAGAACAAGACACCTCCCGGGAGTCAGGTCCGTGGGGTCGCCACTGCCCAACAGCTCGCCACAAGCTGCCTTGCGGAAATTATTATTATTATTACATGGTTAAGCCGGGGTCGCGGGTCAAGCTCAACGAGGTACCGCGATCTCGACTTGAAGAAAGAGAAAGTAACGAGAGGGTTTTTAGTCAGTAAGAGTCTGACACACCCTTTCCACAAAAAATGGTACACTTATGGTGTTTTCCTAAATACTACAACTGCAATACGAGTGATATAAACACATAATATATATCGATGTGTATTTTACATCTCTATCCAATCATGAACAACTTGAAGTTCTGTTGTGAAGTTAGATAAAGTTAGGGGTACTTTTACGTTATATCATGACAAAGTTCTTGCACCTACAGTAAACGCTCATTAAAACGTGTTTGTGTCAGCGATCAGAAAAAATTCAACTTCGCTGTAACTACTCTTTACATTTGAGTGATCCAATTATAGTTTTCAATGTAACTTGCAATGCAATGGACCAAGAAGTTATCTGCTTACAAATAATTTGTTTTCTTGTAACATTTAAACAGTTCAAGAACGAAAACATTTCCTTTGTGTACTCTGCGGTCTTCCGCTTACAGATTCCATTGTATTCTATTAAGATCCTACTTCAAAACTTTGTGAAGGAAAAATATCTACTATTCATAATAAATACTACAATTGTGGAATTCCGAAAATTTAATGATGTTTATTTACCATTGTAGCTTGGTATATGTTAGGCTATGGATACTTAAGGAAACAATTTTTTTCCAGACAAAAACGTTGCTAAGGCCTGATTTCAGGGAGGAAATCGGTGGCGGCGACCTCTCACGACTAACCTTTTTCGAGGTATGGTGCTATGGTGTTGAGTGTGAGGAACTGGGAAGTCGTCTCCTCTTTCTACGAATCAATCGTGCTCGCAAAGGAAGAGGGGAAACGCGCTAGAGAACTATTCTCATCATGTCCCAACACCAGGATAGTAGGAAACCGTCTAGGCATCGGGGATCGTGCGACGACCTCCAGCCAGTAAGCGCGGAACGCCGAGCAAGGGTAGTTCGACATCAACTTTCGGCACGCGGCTCATTGAGGCAACAGACTAGCACAGATGAAGGCAATAGGGCTAATGTACAGCCGGAGTTACGGATCAAGCGCGAGTGCAACGCGATCCCGACCTGGAGCAGGAGCAGGAATGGGGTGGTATTTAGTTAGTAAGGCACCCCCTCACTCTCTCGCAGGGCAAGAGAAGCCACTTGATGAATTTCCCCCTCAAAAAAAGTATGATACATAAGAATTTAATCTAAGTCTCTAGGCATTATTTTTTTTAAGATTTCACTGTACGTATAATTGTAACAGAAGACAAATCGGTGGCAAGATGGGATAACATACAGTGGTTACCTCAAATTAAGTTATGGATGCATATGTAGTAGAAATCTACTCTTTTGTAGTATACAATTTATATTAAGAACGAAATAAACTGATTTTTAACTATCTGTTCGAAATCTGTAAATTGACTTCGCAATTTTTTTATGCGAAGAAAAAAGAAAATACCTAGTATTTTTACATAGAAATATTTATATTCTACAACTTCATAATATACGACCTCAAGTTTAGCCTAGTTACCCAACCTCAGAAAGCCTATGAAACCATCATGTCTGTACCTATTCACCGCAGTCGTTGTTTTGAATAGTCGTTCCATTCAATTGTTAGATCGATGAACACAAGTCTGATTTGTGCAACGCAGAGTCCGACGGAGTAATTGCAAGACGACGGTATTGTCAGCCGATAATTAATACGAGTAACTATCAGTATCGCTAGTCCGTCGCACGGAAACCTTGTAAACCTGTTGACTAATATTTTGATGTCCGTTATATTGATTGATCATTGCAAAATGTATACTATACACGAGAACTGCGCACTAAACTGGAATAGGAAGCGACGTTCAAGTCTGTCTTTAGTGTTAATTATAATGAAAGCATTAAGTTTCGATAACTTGCAACTCCATACTTCTACTCCAACGAACTTAATAACTTTATACTAATTTCCACATTAACGACAGAATAATTTTAATTAAGTAAGTGGCAAATGACATATTGGCTATTAGTATGTATGACTTACAGTCATACGGTTTCATAATTTTGTACGTGGGAATGATATGGCGAATGCTGTCTCCTTCATCCTGGTTACATATAAGTTTTCGAATAGAAGACGAAAACTCTATGAACATAAGTTCATTTAGCTTTGCCTACTTATAATCCGTATTGAAAACAAACGTAGTTAGCCACCGAATGTGCGCGGGCCCACTCTGCATCCAAGGGTTACACTTTCAGTATTTTACCAAATTACGCTATACTACTATTGGTGAGTTAGGTGTAAATTGAGCCATCAATTGAAAAACAAACGGGTATTGTGACACAGGACATGGAGAATTTTAGTTCATAAAGTATTTATAATTATTAATAAAACCCAAAAACGTTGTTGGTGGGCGATGTCACTTATGGTTTGGGTTAAATAAATCCCTTGTAATTTGATAAGAAAATAAAAAGTATTATTGTCTATTTCAGCGTCCAACCTAGACTGTAGCGCGGAGTCACACATACATAGTCAGTTAATAGATGTAAAGTACCTACTTAGGGTACTAAATATGAAAAAAAGATAATACGAGAACTCTAAGTCCTATACACATGTTTGTCTTGTTTAGTGCTGGCCTCGCATAAGCTTAGTGCACATAAGTACATGTTCCCTGAAGCTTTACACGTGCCAAAACTTGTACTAAACAGATATATTTTCCATATGCTAAATATAAAAGAGGACCTCTGTCCTCGAGAAGACACGCCTATCTAGGATTTCATGTTTACATTTGATGAACCCGTTTATAGCATATTTGTTATAACAATGGTCACGTAAAACCATCGCTTGAGGCTAAGATGGTAAAATATAGAACCGATAATTAGCCAAAACATTATCATTTATAAATCCATTTTCTTTGAAGACGTAGGCAGAGAGGTACGCCTACTTAAGTGGTATATTACGAGATTGTTCTTGTTACCATATGGCGTAAGAAAAAAAAATATTACAGCTATCATGAGAACAGGGATTTATTTTGGTATATTGAAACTAATTTCTGAGATGTGGTTTCTGGCCTGAAATATAGTCAGCAATACAGATCTACGTTAAGTTGGCTGCAAGCCTGTGGTCTTGTTATTCAGAAACTTATAAATAGAAATAGCTTTTGCGGTTGCTCCGCTGTTTTAGTATTAGATTATAACAGCGAACAATAAGAAATGTCTCAGCTCGTTTCTGTGTACGTGCCACTATTTTGTCATTTTATAAATACTTACTCGTTGGTGGAGCGGTTGCCTTTGTCAACTAGTGGCTTTATTAGTTTAAAATTGTATCCTATATATAATAACATAAAAATACCGACGACTGAACAATATGTAGCGACATTTTCTAGAGTTACAATGAATCTACAGTTTAAACAAAATTTGTTGGTATCTAAAAATATTGTTATTTTTATAGAATAGGAAAGAAAACAATATGGGCCTACGTAAATTGACGTGTACCTATTGACACTGAATACTATTGTTGCACGATCGAATGTAAAAAGCCGGTTTATTGGTTTCGTGTTTTTGTATTCGCAGAATTTCATCAAATGTCATGAACGGCTGCAGGTGAGCGCGTTGATGTAATTGTTCGCTCCGATTGTGCCTTCCAGCAACGATCAGAACTAAACGGATTACCTTGTGCCATTCGAAATACATGCCATTTACCGGTTGTGGATTTTAAATGACAGAAACTGATGCGGCGGCGGTACAAACAAGAACAAAGTTATCGTATTTTTTACATCGTACCTTTATATTATTATTTTTTCTGGTTACGACAAAGTTATGCAAACCTGTAATTGGTGTATTTCTAGCCTTAGTTCCATAGACATCCCAAAGAAATTGTTAAATGCATCAACTGCTGGTTTACTTTTTAATATACTGGCTAGAGTTACTACTGTACTGTGTAGTCACTGTGTGACAGTGACTTTTAATCACTTATGTACTTTTAAATTTTTCAATCTTTTTTGGTGATTGATTGTAACAACCATAAAACAACCGAAACAAAAGTATAGCTTGCAATATCTGGTTTTGTATTGGCAACATTGTTACCAATTTATTTCTGGTAAAAATACTTTTAACGAGCTTCGATAGACAGTCAGCCATTTTATAAATTCATTCGTTGTTCGCCTTAGGGTTTGTCAATCAAGCGCTACGAAGTCGAATAAACGATAACCCTTTCCTCAACCTTTTAGGATGGATCATTCTGACGGTCAGAAAGCCCAGTGACACAGTATGGTACGGATTGGCCTTTTCAATCGAGATTTCTAAAAAAGAAATGCTTTACCCGCAGTTATAAACTAAAGGGTTTCAACGGTGATACCCGACGGCACTTCAAAAAGAACTTAACTCCAGACAGCTGCCATAATACTGAACAGATTTGTTACAAGTTTTCTAAAAAGTAAGACTCGTTTGATCTAGTAACGTTTTTGTATTTGGACCTGATGTGTTTATGGACCTGTAAAATTAAATAGGTACCTGTTAGATCTTGATTTTCGACGATTTTGGCCACTTGCAGAATCCAAACCGGAACTCATGGATATAGCTCGATTGAGCATAGACTCTGGGATATACGGCTCATTAAGACCTGTAAAATAAAATCGGTTGTTATCGTAACTTCGCCACCCATGTGTTGATGCATATGATACATGCATATACAAATACAATTCTTTTATTTTATAAAAATGATCACAACACACGTCTTGCACTTACAGTCTTAAGACGTGTGTTGTATGTTGGGACAGTACTGGGACACAAAGAAGAGAACAAAGTTGGAGCATTAATCACCACGCTTAAATTATAAGTCCAGGTTTCTTCACGATGTTTTCCTTCACCGTAGGTCTTCGGTGTCTAAACGAACTGAATTGTAATGATCTAAACATCTAGGTAAATTTAGTAGCTTAATTACATATAACTCGGTAAAATTCGTGGTTATTAACGCTCAAAACCAACTTTGTGATAAGTTGCCTTTGCTCAGGTATTTTTTTTTAAATCTTGGCCACTTTTCAGGCAGTCCTTGCAATTTATCGTTAAACCAGTTTATTTGGTGTGGGTAAATATTGGGCGCATCCGATTTATTGACTAAAAAAATCCAAATCGGATACTAGGACCGCTGGAACGTTGCCTAAAGCTATCTATCTATTATAGACAGTGCGTGGTGTTCACAGCATTGCAAATAAAAAGAGTTGTCAAACGAAAATCTATGTTCAAACGGTGAGTTGCCAATCGACGGACGCGTCAAAGCAACACGTAGTATGTGTTCTTTTGGTTGGTTTGGATTCCATCAAATATAGCATCGAGGAATCAAAAATACAGAAACATGATTCGTGCCAATTTTTTCTCTACGTTGTATGACACCTACATACCTAATATATGTATTGTTGAGTGTGCATAAGGTCTTTATCGCACGGACTATTTACATTGACAACCTTTTAGGAAACAACCGAATGCTTTCATCCGACTCGATCCGTTCACATTACATCTGTCCAAATCTGACTGCAAAGTGAGCAGGCCTGACCAAAATAGATTTTTGATTTGAAAAAAAAATATATAAAGATTAATAATTACACAATTACCTAGCTTTTAAATAACGTTTTATCACATAAAATATATAAAATTCAATTTACACCTCTGTGTGAAATAGCAACAGTGGCGTCATTTGCTTGAACGTCAAACATGCAAATAAGTATTTGATTAGATAGCTATGTATATATCTCAAGATAGATCGAAATATCAGACAGGTGCGTATATTTCGATCGAATTCATCTCTTAAACATTTTTTTAGTAATCCGTCTGATTGTACTCATGTTATATTTCTTGTCTCATCATTTATTTATTGGATCAAATAGGTACATTATGTATTTGCTTTAGGTTACGTAAAAAGGACCTTAATTGGACATGGAATCATCCTTCTGACGGCTATTGTTTCTATACGAGATCATTTGAAATATTAAAATACTATAATAATATCATCGGTTTTACAATATCCATATCAAATAATATCCTACCTACATGGTTCATTAAATGATAATTAAATATTATTGGTTTGAGAAAGAGTTTGGATCAAGTTTTTTGTTATCAATAATTTTGAAAACTTGGACAAAAAATTTTTATCAGTTATTTTGTTAGGTTTAAGTAATTTATTAAAATTAACAGATTTCTCCTGACTCAGTGCCAATTTAAGAAATTTTTTAAAACTGAGACAATCTTATCGTTTTTCCGACTTGGGGAAAGAATCTGAGTCCTGTTGCATTAACGCTTCCGGGCATTCAGCAACGAGGCAGTGTATGGGTTCAGGATCTAGCAACGACTAATTAAATGAAGATGTGTTAGTTAGGCTTTAGTGTCTGTTATGAATGTGCTGCGGTAGTAAGAAGGTGCGGTAGTGCGCAGCCGCGGCGTCTTGTACTATGAGGTATGGCTCAAGGGTAGTCCGGTTGCAGTGCAGCCAGCCTGCATCCGCCACTCGGTCTCCGTCGACGAGTGTGGCAGCACATTCGTCCATGGTGACCGAATCGAAAAGTATACCTTGAACCAAATACTGAGCAACGAACGACTGGACTTTTAATAAAATTTTATAACAACGATGCTTTTTAATAAATTGATATTGTAATTTTAATTAATAACCAAATGCCTTTAATCTTTATCTAGCCTATTTTGTGCCAGGTTGGACTAGATTTTCGCTAAAGCTAAAAGCTAATTGACCGATTTTGTGAAGCAATGATCATCCTATTATTATTAATTTATATTGGCTCTATAAATACAAATTTACAGAAGCAGATAAGTACTATCTATTATGACTGTGCAATACCACAAAACGATACTTCCAGATACGGATCCCGAATAAAGGCTTTTTCCAAATAACAATTTCCAATAAATAAACTCCCAACAATATCATTCCATTCTTGCCGAATATTACAAGAACCTATGAAATTAGTAAGTAAGCAATTTTCTGTAAACCGCTTACCTGAGTATCCATTTTCTATTAATGGGTTCGTTGGATACATAAATATATATATAAAGTAGTTTGTATTTCTCGTTTTGAATTAGTATCCGTATATTCATGTGTGATTGGCATGAAACATGACAAATGTGAAAATAACAACCATTTTCCTTACTGTAGTTTAAAAATATAACATTGATTATTATTACAGGTAGTTAGTTGATTGTTTACATGTTGCATCTATCTCGCTCACATAGCTGGACGTTGGGTGCTCCAAGCGTGATGGCGCTCATTTAAACTTTAAAGTAACACGAGATTAATTGCAATTAGTAAATTGTAAAGTAGTTCATTATGATATATTTCACTGTCAATGTCAGCGGGTGTCCCTGAGTCTGAGTGAATGGTTTCCGGCGCGGGTGTTCGGAGCGAGCTCGTTCATCATTTTGTCTCGTTTCACTTACACAGCTCATCCGAATAAAGTCTGTCAGGTCTGTTCGTGACAAAAGTGTCCCTGCTCCAACGCGCACAGCTTTGTACACTTTGCAGATAGTTCCTTTGAAAGCCTAAGGCGTGTGCAAATCTTATTGTTGAATGTTGAGAACAATTATTTAGTATTTTTATTGTTATATAATTTTAAAGATTAAAATATAATAATATGCTAATCAATTTGATCTGTTCCAGTAATGGGATGGTTGATAACACTATATGTACGTATTTTGTATGCATCAAAGAGAAATACCTATATACATAGTATATTTATATCGTTGTATCATTACTTGATAATCGGTTCGGTATTGCAACAATTTGAGCAATCGCCTATCAAGGACGGGTTTCTGCTTTAATATATCATTACATCTTAATGTAACTACTATTAAGTACTTATTCGGGATATAATAGTAGATGGGTGATTCTTCACATCAATTAAAAAAAAATTAATAATGTCATTATCCTCAACCGAAAATTAACGAGTCTGCTGATTAAAACACAGATAATTATTTTATTAAATTAAATCTCACCACTGCTTATAAGCAACCGATTAAAAATATTGTATAAAATAAATTACTAAGATGCTTAAAAACCTGGGAGGATAATGACTTGTTAAATAAAAGTTAAGGTTTTTTGGAGAATCACCCATTAAATGCAAATCACAAAACATTTTCATAGAACCGACTTACAAAACGCAGCACTGATTGATTTTTTAACTCAACTGCAGCATTCTAAGTAACTGGAACTTGTTCTTTGAAGATAGATAAACAAACAGAATGTCTATCTTTGTACGGGTGCTTGTGTACCGGTGAGGAGTTTCCAACAATGTCATAGCAATCAATTTGTAGTTGTTTGTAACTCCAGCACTGTTTGTGGTTTCAACTTACAGCATTCGTTCAGTTAAAATTTGCAGAGATTTTAATTAAATGTCACGAACTGTTTGCCAAAGGACTCAATTGAATGCAGGTCGTACACGTGTACCCGATAGGTACCCTATAGAAATATAGATGAGGAATTATGCATTAAAAGCAGAGTTTTATTGGAATGCATTCATTGGCAAATTCTCAGCTCAAAGGTAGGTATGGCTCTTTGACCGGCCCTGAATTACGATGAAAATATATATTGCATAAACTTAAATTAAGTGATGAAATTGCTGAGTATTTTATAATTCAAGTTTGTATATTGAGTAAAACTAGTCGAATGGAGTCTTGCATAACTTAAACGTTATTTTTTATTTAGGACTTTATGTACACCAAATTGAAAAGGTAATTAGGTAAGGCTAACTTGAAGCTGTAGGTTATTCTTTACGGTCATCCTTAGGGTCAAGTAGTGAAATTGGCATTCATAATTACTGATTAAAAATCTGATTACAATTGTAGGAACAGAATGTCTCGAGATAAGAATCGGAAGTCTTGAACAAGGATCGATTGAAAAAATAAATCCTGTTTTGAAACATTAAACGATCATCGTATCCTATGGTGAGGGCAGAGAGTACCCTCTTCTCTACCCTGTTCTTCCTGTTGGTCTCGTAAGAGCCGAACAGCGGACTTCGGACATTTAACAGACGCCTTTCACCACCATTCTCTGATAATACTGAATATTTAATCTGCGATCTAAAATCACCGAAGCTACTTTTTAGGCACCAAAAAGCCATTTTAGGTCTTGTGTTGGGGAGCCCATTTTATCAGTAGGCAATAAAATGCTGTTCATATAGTACGCTCCTAAAACAATTCTAATTTTATTTAGAGTATGGCTAGAAGACAGTATGAAAGCCCCACCCGCTTCAGGTGGTTTTTGGATTGCTGTCCCTTTAAAGATATTGTCTATCTATTTCTATTTATCTTTGGCTGCGTGCAGTTTTGCAAAGTTTACACTAACTTATGCTACCTAAACATTAACGTTTTTAACTGCCTGTCTGCAATAATCGAGCTCAATCAGAGTGGTACAAAGGCTTTATAGAAAACCGGCGTGAAAAAGTGACAGCGTTGTGTCTCGCCTTGTGATTGAGGTTACCGAAGGTACAATCCTTGACCTCCGCCAATCCCTAGTCTCCAAAACCCTAATCCCCAAAAGGCACGCTCGTACTCATCACACGTAACTCATTTGTTGTTGCGGGTGTCCATAGACGGCATTGTTTTCTTACCATCAGTAAACCGTGTGATAATTGACCGTCCTACCACCTAAAAATAACTTAAGAGATATAAATAATTACACAACTATAATACCCACTGTTGATACTAGGTGATGTGTCTCCCAAGGGCTGACTGCCGATCAGTATGGGTCGACTACCAGAAATACTGTCGCCTTCACTTTGTTGATCGGGCAACGTTTGTTCACTCTGAGATATAGACAAACTGGAGGCGCTTCGAGCTACCGTCGGCGACGACTGCAAACTTGTCGTACTCCTTTGTAGTTCTTCCTGAAATAATATTCGTAAAATCAGTTAAAACACTCATCTATACTAATATTATAAAGAGGTAAAATTTGTAAGTTTGTATTTAGGGGGTAATCTTTGGAACCGGTGGTCGGATTGCCAAAATTCTTTCACTGCTAGATAGCTACAATGTTCCTGAGTGCTATAGGCTATAAAACATCACGCTACCATCAAATGGAGCCGAGCAGCGGGTGAAATCGCGCGAGGGAAGCTAGTCATACATATTATGAATATCATACGCGTTAATAACAGGTTTCGGTTCAGTCCAAAACTACGGTCGGGAAAACTTATTTATGAATCACGATAGTTATTTCACAAACAAACAACAACATTTTAAACAGACGAGAATTTGTCTTCGCCTGACTAATTGTTATCAACGTATGTTGACGATTTAAGTCAAAGTGAAATAAATAAATAGAATTGCGTTTTCCATCCATCCTAGTTCCAAAAACAGATACAAATGACATGAGATTATTGCCTTATATTGCCACACGTTGGGTCGACTCAAAGTGAACTAAATTATAATTAAATATCTAGTTACACTCTTTATATTGGAAGCTCATTCACCTTACAAGCGCACAATCCATAGAAGTGGAAACATGATCTCACTGTCAAAGGAATAATTATACTGTCTACGAAAACAAGGTAGGAAACAAAACCTGTAGTACATTTTTAATTAGGTTTTAGCAAAACCAATCGGCTGGTACTTCTGTACAATTTTTCTGCAATGAATGTCGTTCGTAATTATTATAGTGTACTATACATCGTACATGGGTATTGTCCACTTAGGAACGTGGTAAAAAGAGCAAAGCAAATAATGTTCGTCCAATTCAGTTTGCATGGTCGGCGCGCGAAGTATATTGACAATTGACAAATGTTTCGAAACAGCATTGTGCAAGCATCGTATCGTTCACTGGCAGCCGGTGTCGGGAGAGCCAGGAATATTGACACGGACAAACCGACTCGGCTACTGACGAATCTGCCTACTTGAGCATTCATGTACAAACGCCAGCAGGTCAACCAACGTTGGTCGGTCAATTTTATTCAGTACCTTTTCGACTTTAATACAAAGCAGTAAAGTTAGAAATGTATTTTTGAGCTCTGTCATTTTAGCCTAGGTTGAGCTGCTGATATCTGTAAAATTCTATACACACGATATTCACAAACACATCACTGTCTGTATTTCAAAAACACAATGTTATCCGCCTAGTGTTTGCTTATTTGACTGCAAATCGTATGAGATACGGGTTTTGTAAAGGTGGTATTGTTTTTTAAGCGAATGACACCTTATTGCTATTGGCACTACTAATACAACCTGATACTAGAGGGGTTTGAAGGATAAATATTCAGAAAAGGTGTCGATAATTTAAATACTGTGTTACGCTTAATGTTATTGTTACAGTATGTACGTGTTATTTGATCACAACAATATAGATTTTGTTTTAATTAGCCGATTGTACTTTTTTATTATAAGTATAGGCTGGCAAATTGCCATGCGGATTACCTGATGGTAAGCAATGCACGCCGCCAATGGACACCACCAAAGAAGCTACGAGTGCGTTGCCGACCAAAGAAAGAAATAAATTATGTTATTTAGACCAATAATACAATTTTATTATTATCTAGTAAACAATCCATAGATTTTTTTTAGGTGGGAGGTCATAGAGCGGACGATACACCTGATGGTAATCAATCAACGCGGCCCATGGACAGCCAGCCTCTTGGGGGATAGGGATCCCAAACCCTCATCTCCAATGTTGAAGATTTTGGGATTTGGGATTAATAGGGATTATGTTAGGGTTGGGGACATCATAGTCGTCCGTTAACCTCATTTAAATATTTTATACACAGAAAACATCAAAAGCAGACTACATCTTCGATTTTTATCTTTGAAATGGAATTTACTGAAGAATGCAGTGCAATGATTAACCTTGCACGGAAAGCAAACAATATGTCATCACTTCAATATACTGAGTACCTAGCTATGTACTTTATTATAAAATAATGATGATATTAAATTCATTTTCATAACATTTGTCTAATAATAATGTATTTATATTTAGTCGTATGAGTAGATAGCCTGCGAGAGTCTTGTGGAATCTCATCACCTTTAGTCCAAAGAGGTACAAAGTTTTTTACGACCAGTTAATAGGATTAATATCTTAAATTACTTAAACTTGTCTATTTAAGTCACGAGTTCTATTGAATGAAATCAAACTAACATTTTCTTTCACTGAACATTTTTATATTATTGAACTGTAAACTGAAGAGTTCAAACTACTATAATATTATAAAAGTTGAGAACCGTGATGGTTTTTTGAAACCTTTTATCATATTTGAATTGTAATAAGCTTTCACAAAAGAAGACATTCAAATGTACATTTGAAGTAACTTGGGCAGTCACCGTTACTAGATTTTAATAGGCAGTGTTCCGATTTATTATACTCGTAATATAATATCTATATCTATTAGTAAGGATTTATTAATTAAAATAACTTCAGAATTAGATAGAATAAACAAAGTTAAAGTGTTTCATTGTTTTAAGTAAATGAGTCTTTTCGAAGCACCTTCAAGCCCTGATTTAGGTATTCATAGAAATGCTCTAGTGTTTACGCGCGGCTTGTTACCATTAGCTGCAGTACAAGCGGCGCCATTAATTTTGTACATTCATTGAATAGTCTTTAAGACAAGCAAATACTTTGTAATATAAAAAGGACATAGTCGAAACTTATGAGTTACGAGTAGAAGAGTGGGAGTCACAGTCCTCAAATCCCCTATCCTTAAATCCCTAATGACACACAAGTGGTCGGCAACGCAACTGTGGTACCTAACTCAGCGGTGCTGATTGCTTACCAGCAGGTAATCTGTCTACTGGTTCGCCAACATATGACATAAAAAAAGAATGTTATCAAGTACCCTTATAAACTATTAATTGTAATACTTACTTCATGATTGTGTAGTGGTTCCCCATAGTGGCCATTACACGCGGTATTCTCGTTCAAGGACTGCAGAGACACCGACATGGAACATCTCGACTGTATGGACTGGCTCCTGCCTACTGATTGTCGTTTGAATATTTCTGTCGTATTTTTCAAAAAACTATCCATTTTTTTCCTAAAAAAGGATGATTTCCTCTCGAGCGGAGATTTCCCAATTGAATTCAGATCCAATTCAGACTGTGACAAACCTCCACGTCTAGAAAGCATAGTCTGATCCAGAGATAGTTTTCTGTCGCGAGCCTTTACATGCAAAATCTCGCTCGGGGACGGTGATTCGATTTTGACGTCTGGTATAACCACAACGTCTTGTTTATTTTCTTCACTAATTAACACAAAATCTTGCAACCCCTCGGGTACACTGATGGATTCGTGCATTTTAGTGTCAGACGAACTTTCATTTTCAATACAGTCTTCGAGTATTTCTTCTTCCGACTCACTAGGTTTATCGTTGGGTTCCTCGGATTTGGCTTCGTCTCTTTCTTCATTGCTATTACTGACGACAACAACGTCGGGATTCGTTGCACTCGGAGGGTCTAGTGTATTTTGGTTTTCATTGGTTTGGTCGTCACTAGTTTGATCCACGCCAAATATGTCTTCATTATCGTTAAAATCTTTATTTTGCATAACTTTACTCCCTTTGGGTGCCTTTATACGCATACTACTGTTCATTTTAACGGTTCGTAAGATCTCCTTGATTTTAAGATTCTCTTTAATCGCCTTGACATCCGTTATAAATAACGGAGCCTGGTCCTTGTCGACGTACTTCATTGGTTTTTCTTTTTTAGATTTTTGCCTAAATCGATCCATTTTGAGAAATAGCACTACACTCACAAATATCACAGAAACACTTCACGGATAACAAAATCACTGTCACAGCATTTTGTTGAGAGGAACATTTATCAGCACGTAACTGGCACACAACGTTACACCTGTACAAACCATTTAATCATGGTGATGGCGGTAACGATAACAATATGTCGACGAAATCGAACGGCATCGGCTCGCAAACCATTAAATGTGGTCCTAGGGCTGCCACCTGCACACTTGCCTTATATACAATACGATAATAATAATATTGATTACATTATCCTGCTATTAATACAACGTTTTGTGTTTAATATTGTCACTACAAAACGAGCTACGTCATTAAAATTTTATTAAAGTAAACACGTTTCGTGGGGCCTCTGCCATGATTAGTTACTTGTGCGTCTTCAACTCTAACGATATCTTGAGGCTTGTTATCGCAAGCCTTGTTATCTTTGATAATATATCGCATTATCTATAAAGCATTTTTTCTTTTATCTTTAGTCCACGTTCAACGTACATCGACTATAACAGCTAGTATCTTGCGCTAGGCGTGTGACGGGCGCGATCTCAACAAAAGTATAACACTAATTTTCCACTATGGCACAACACGTTATCAGTCTACGACTAGCAAATATTTATTTTATGTAAAACGATAATAACACGAGGTATTCGGCTCTTTAACGAATTGTTGAATAAGTTAAAGTACTTATTCAACAAGTTGCTGAATATGTCATTTTTTATTTGTTAAAATTTTTTTATAAATATAAATTTGTTAAAAATGAATTATTATGAAATAACTTTTAACAAACAAACGACTTAAAAAAGTGAACTAAAAATAGCAAAAAATGAATTTTCTTTTTACAAAGTAATAGGTACATGTTTTCATTTAGATAAATAGAACATAATATTACTTAATAAATATTTTTATAATCTTATAATCTCAGATTTACTGTCTTACTTAGTTGGCTAGTAATTTAAGACATAATATTTAGTCAGGGTTGGGAGTGCAAGCGCAGTAAACGTAATAAGTAAGAGTGATACTCCCGCTCCCTCCACCCCGAGCTTGAAAAGCAAAATGACGATTATAATGTCGCAACAAAAAAACAAGATATATATGAATCCAATGAACACAATTAGGTAGGTAATGAATGTCTTTCCTAATTAATTCTATTTTTTTGCCTATCTGTTTACCCGAATTAGTTTTTATCAATATATCTTATCAATCCATAAACTATTTTATAGTTTTAATAAAAAGTGACTAATAGTTTTCTAACTAGAAACAAGTGCTTACTTCCTTAACTCTATTTCGTAGATAATATTTGTGATTACGATGGTATTTATTTTATGAATATCATTGTTACATACCACCTATGCTTCAGCGCCAATGCTAACTAAACTGAAAAGAAAGCACGACCTTACAGATACCTGGCATTATACAACGCTTGCATTATGTTTCGCAGACATCGCACTTGTAGCTCCTATGGTATTCCGGGTATAGGGACTGTTGCCGCTGTACCCCAAAAAATCTGCTCTACATAACAAACATGTCAAATATGCGAAACTAATAAATTGAGTTTTTTTAACAGAGCAATAATACAAAAATACTGACATAGGAAGCAATGGAATTAACCACCAAGTCAAGTGTATGTACTGACGCGGTGGCTCGTTACTCTCCGTCTCATAAAACTCTTAGAGCGAACTCAGACACTGAGGTTTTAGAAGGAAATACGTCGAATATATCTAAAGACTGATACAATAAGATGGTTCAGCAATCATAGTAATTCATATTTTCGTACCAAAATATTCGTAAGTATATAGAATACCCCTTTTCCCTTACTTTCCTGTAATCCTTTTACCGAGTAATATTGATGAGCTGATAACATTGTCTCAATGTTTACTTAGGTCAGTCGTTCGCTCGCGGCGGCGGCAACTGACCCCGCACTTGACACTTATAGATTTGGGACATTTTACTTCATAGTATACCACATGTGGGTCTTGCAAAATTTGACGACGAGAACTGCGTAACTAAGTGTATTAGTAATATCATTACCATGTTATAATGTCGTATAACATGCTCAAAGGAGCCGCGGACAAAGATTACGTGAATCATAAACGAATGAAGATAAATTATTTCCTGAACAAAGTCGCGGAGGTTTGTCGGAATGCGGCGCAGCGGCTGTAGAAGCCATTACATTAACATATACTGTAAACCACGTGTGATTGTCAATTTGCTTTGCAATGTAGGGCCAAATGATACCATAGTCACGTGGCCAGCGGGACATTAACCTTACGACTTCGCATTTTCCAAATTGTTACTACCTCCTGGATACAAGAATAAAGTGTATTCTTCTATTTTAAACAAGCGTTTTTTTTAATTTAACGAGTACTACGACGTACGGAGCGCATCATATGCATTAATAATGTAAAATACCTAATAAACTGTATGAAATGAGCAAACAGCTATCTGTGTTATATATAACCAAGCCTGCAGCTTACATTTGTATAAAATCATTACGCCCGGTGCTGTATAATACGGGATCATTGCCTTCAAAGGAGGGTAATCGCCACACACTCGCTCAAACCAATACAACCTCACTTCAACTCCTTGAATCAATATTTTATTTCTTTATTTATCCAGCAAATCATACTCTATCCCGCTGAGAAAACTGCTCTGGTCTACCTAATAATTGAACACACAACTACACAGCCACATCGAACTATTTTTATCCCGTACAAGTGAGGTACAGTTAGGTCTGCAATAGTAAATCTTTTTCAACATTTTTCTGTCCAATTAATGAATATTATTTAAGTAAATTAATAAGCAATTGACTATTGGTGTTGACCAAAATGTCACCTCGGCAAAGTTTATGGTGATCACTAACTTTAGTATGCTGTTATATGGAATGTGTTAAATGTCTTAAAAAAATCATGAGTATTTCGTTCGTCCGAATAATCAATTCCAAACAAATAAGCTTTCTAACAAATTCAATTTAAAAAAAGTTACTTACGATTGAAACTTAGTCGTTATATACGAAACCCAAATGTTGGCACAGTGTTGTTCTATTGCAAGAATGTGAAAGATAAAGATTTAGACTTTTAGACCAGATATAAAAATTACTGACAATAAAAATAAATAAAGTGAGGATAGAAATAAAATTTTAGATAACTTCTAGGCATTACAGTGTTTCACCCATCGCCAAATATCGTATGACCACAGCCACTGAAAATCGTCAATAAATAGGTTTTTAGTACTTGAAATATTGAAATGTATCTACACTAAGATCAGTTGGAAAAGAGACAAGATCTATTACTAGAGTCAGTTAAGAAGACACGTTCTAAGTACCATTTATCTGCGTCCAGGCATCTGACACAAACCTCTCGTCTTTAGAACAGGATATAGAAGGTCACCTACACGGATACCTACATAGTTGCAATGAATGAATAAACAAAAATATTTTTCATTGTAGTGTACCTATACTAATACAACAAACCGAGTTTTCGTGTATGAGCAACCTGTTTAATTGAAATTTATTTTTTATTATTTTTTATTTGGGATTACTAGTAACTAGTATGTATGTGTGCCTATTACAGGTATACTAAGCAACCAGAACAAACTGAATTTTGACTATTTTAATATGAAGTACTAAAACTATTCTTCATAAACCATTATAAAGTTTAATCCTTGGGGTTGATACTAACAAGACTCTTACTAAGCGAAAAAAGTAGGGGGAGGCTTAGTTTTCGATAGATCCATTCCGAGACTAAAAAACCCTAAAAACACAAACGGTGCGGTCTAACCGAAACCGCAGCTTTTGCCTGCCCCATGTTCTAAGCATGTTTGGTGATGAGTTCCTAGGTCATCGTACATTTTCAATTGAAACCACCAGACTGCTGAACTAAATTCACGGTTCAGTTCGCGCGTCTGCTGATACATGGTTGAAGATCGAAGCGAAGAAAGATCTTCCGAGCAGGCGACGCGTGCAAACTTACCTTACTTTGTAGGATTTGGGACATCATCTGTTAATTTATTAATATCGTCGAATATTCTATTTGCATAGCCACGAACTAATCATAAAAACACATACGTTTTTGTGATTCCATATCTTACTGAGGCACGAGCCAAGGAGGTAACTTAAACTCTGTCCTGAAACCTGATATAACTTTTGAACCACAATTCAATCAGAGATCGAGAGATAATTTTATTATTATTTATTTAGCAAAAAGGTTAATTTTAAGTTTTACGATGTAAAAAAATGTCCGACAAAACTATACACATAGTTTGGCTGTCGGATCCAAATTATTATTAGGTTCACAATAACATTTGTAACAATTAATAGTGGACTTTGTAAGTTAAATATTAAAAAGTAGAATTATAAATGTTATTATGTATGTACAGTACTTATTACTAAGATCTTAGGAGGAAGGTTTATTTGTGGTATACTATATAAATCCACTGCTTCTATATATCTTCTGCTCTATGGTTAGACAGACTAACAAAAAGTATCTACTTATCTTGCATTAACTACTTATTAATGTTCTTAATTCAAATTGTTAATCTTTTTGTAATTCATGTATGTTCTACGGTACCCAAAAGTTATTTTTGACCTCTGTATTTGATAACTGCAATGTTAAATGCACAAACGTAACAAATCTATTTACACTGTTATAGATATTACAAAGTCTACAACAAATCCTAATAAACATGATAATGTAGTAACTTCTGCACCGCTTCGTAGATACAATGTATGGCAAAATAATATGATTATATTATTGAGTGCCCCAAGAGTACGGCACGTGTGACTACATTAAAATTGACAAACTAGAATAATGCTAATAAGTAGTTTCAGTCCCTTGTCATTCCTTTCACGTGTACAAGAACTTTTGTTTGCAACAATGTTACAAATATATGCAATATTAATGCATACAGTTTATCTGTATCGGCCATCGAAAAGGCTAAAAGCGACTTCCTGTATTATAAATAGTATAACAAACAGACAATTTCAAAAATAAAAATAACTACATAATATGGAATAGAATAGTCTTCTATATTTATGTAGTTTGTACTACCTTACTACATTGTAGTAGTTTCGAATAATGGGTGCAAGAAATCTATACTAATATTACAAAGAGGTAAAATTTGTAAGTTTGTATATAGGGGGTAATCTTTGGAACAGCTGGTCGGATTACCAAAATTCTTTCACTGATAGCTAGATAGCTACAATGTTCCTGAGTGCTATAGACTATAAAACATTACGCTAGGATTAAAAGGAACCGAGAAGCGGGTGAAACCGCGTAAGAGTAGCTAGTAAATAATAAAGGAAGGAATAGCAACAATATCCTAAGACCGAAAGTAGTAACTGTTCAATACATATGCATTGAACAATGTCGGCTCCCATCATCGTCATAATCATCATCATCATCAACAGCCGCAAGACGTTCACTGCTTGACAAAGGCCTCCCCCTTAGCTCTCCAGCTCGAACGATATCTCGCCAATCGCATCCATTGGCTCCCCGCGAGGCCCACATACTGACTGGCATTACTCAAAGTACCATTAGAAACATGAAAATATATACAAAGTTTGTCTTCAGTGATTATTGTTAAATGAAAATACAACTCTTTGAAAAAATGTGATTGAAATAAACTCCCAAGGCTGTGTACCGAATCTATTTCATTTATTGGGGGCCTCCTGTTTGTTCAATTAATTTGCAGAAAGAAAAACATTTTTGTTTTATTGAAACGCAATTTTTCAGTGATTAATTTATTTACTAACAATTTAGATCTGTTTTACAAATGTTATTTGTTCGGTTAATGGATTGTACAGTCTGTGATCATTTCTTAGCTCCAGCATCTGGTACATCGAATTCGCTGACCTGTGCATCTACGAGTTGCTTGCTGCGCAGCTTGATGATGGCTCGGCTCGGTACATTTGGATCTTCCATCTCGAACTCGATAAGACCTGTTAATATAAAATATCATTCAATGAGCAATTCTTGGTATATATATTCATAGGAACTCGGCAACTGCTCAATCGATTTCGATAAAATTTTGTTTGTTATAGTTTCCTAGACGAAAAAAAAAATATAATAAAATATATTTTGTTAATGATATAAAAAGTAACCGAACAAATCTTAGTCGTCCAGGTATATTTTATTTACATAATGAGAACAATAGGAGCTCTAGGTGTAATGTTATTAAGGAGGTTGTGGTATTGCTTCGTTTGGCCTCGTTTCCAGGCACACGGCGCAGTGCAGTATCAAGAAAATTTCCGGTGCGGCGCTGTGCCACATCGAGTAAACGGGATCAAAGCAGAGCAACCTCGAATATAAACTCGATTTGTACAAACAATATTCATATATAGTATACACATTTATGTATATCATATAAACATTTATAGGTTTTGGAACATAATGGGCTACGGGGTTTACAACTCAAGCGGAATTAAGACGTTATTGTGATATGGTGGCAACGAAACGTTTTGAGAGCAAAATTCTATAATATAAACGATTGTGGAGTATTTTATTTTATGAATACGTATGCTTTCCTTTGGGCGATGCGACCATTTCAATGATTAAAAACAGAACACTTTCGTACATCATATTTCACAGAAGTACATACCTATACATGAATAAGTATACACTATATATACAGCAATACATACACAATATACATATAAACATTGTGTGTGCAAGTGTATTGATGCCAGCCGTATCGTGTAAGCTCACAATCTTTCTGCTTAAATGTTAAACGCAATCCGATCCTATCCTGGGGGAAGCCATATAAAAATAAGTAGCATGAAAAAGGAAGAATGAAAATAGGCAATAATACGATGAGTGGATCATTGGAGAGACTGTTTGTCGGAGAGAAGACTGTTATGAGAAGAAAAAAGACTTTTGAAGTTTGTATTGATATAAAGACAGATATAAAAGAAGAATAAAGAAGAATAAATAATTTGGCTGCACAGTGGTGGCTGGGCAACCGGCTGCCATGCAAAATGTTGCTGTTTCCAAACGAAACAAGTCTTTGTGTGGTCCACTTATCATTGCGATGGAATGCGCATTGGTACAAAATACAATACAAAAATACAAATCTAGGTGTAATGTGTGTGTGTGTGTGTGTGTGTGTGTGTGTGTGTGAAATTGTATCTTTGCAATAGCAACCAACAGGAGAAATACTGAGTGTGGGACAACGCTTTCAATAAATATACGAGGAAGGGTGGGTATGAGTACTAAATTGTAGCATGAAACGGAAAAAGTGGATGGCCAACTTCGGGATGCAACATCCGTCAAAGAGACGTGGACCGGTTGACCTCTCATTTTCCACTTGGTCTCCAAGCTGAAAGACACATCTGCATGCACATATTACATAATTTTCAAACTTAGAAGAGCTTAGACGTAATCCATAACAAAATCGTAGCCAAATATGTTATTTTAAAATTTTTATAGTAGCATCAATTTAAAATGTATTCTAGCTGTTAAAGAAAATTCTACGGAATTTTCGTAAAATATTACATTTTGAAAGGGCATAGTTTAATAGAAGCTCCATAGAACGATTCAATTTGTCAAACATTTAAGAGTCATGTTCGAGATGGATTGTAATAAAGCGGTGTGAAACTGTCGGACGGATAAATTGAGAACATTAGCGGTAAGTGGCCGAGGAAGGGCCACGGCCGCGTGCCCTGTCTTATATTGGCACACGACAGCCTTCGTGATGCAGCAAATTTTCCAAATTAACAAGATTAATGTATCGTGACGAGCAGAAAAAATAATACACCACACATAATTTGGAAAAGATTTAGCTTCTAGTTCATACTATTTTATAGTTACCCATTTGAAATAAATAATTTGGGTCGAGTTCGTAATCATGTAAAGGAATATATTACGTTTTTGTGTCAGAAATAGCTATGCAATATCTACCAATTTGTTTAAAGAAATAAGTTGAAAATGGAGTGATTCTAACAGCAACGCATAGATATATACACTGGCTAAGAAGCCAGAGAGTGATGTGTTCTCGAGCCTTTATTTTTTTTTTGTCAGGAGAAAATCATCCAATGGCTTCTCCCACCCAGGGTAAGGCGAGAGAGAGTGTCAGACTCTTATTGACTAAAAACCCCCCCGTTCCTTCTCCTGCTCTGGGCCGAGGTCGCGGTGCCTCATTGCGCTTACCCCGCAGCCCCGGCTAAACATCAGCCCTTTAGGGCCCCGCCTGTGGTGGTCTATTGGCTCTTTGAGGCGCGCCCGGAACGCTAAGTGCCGTACGCTCGGGTCCGGTTCTGGTCGGGCGGCGAGCTACCCTTACTCGCCGTCCGCAGACCCGCGCTTACGGTGGCCGGAGATCATCTCTCGATCCCCGACGTCCGGAATGTCGCCTTCTGCGGCGGTTGGGGCGCGAGGAGGATAGTTCCCTCACGCGCTCCGCCTCCTCCTTTGCGAGCATAACTGCTTCGCAGAAGGAGGAGATAGCTTCCCAGTTCCTCTCACGCTGCACCATGGCCTCGATTAGGGCCGGGCGCGAGAGGTCGCCGCCGCCGATCACTTCCTTGAGAACACGGCGGTGCTCAGCCCAAGCAGGGCACTCCGCCACCGTATGCTCCACCGTGTCCTCCAGGTGATCCTCACAATGACGACACTCGGGCGTTTCCTCCCGCTGGATCCGAAACAGGAACCTACCAAAGCTGCCGTGCCCGGTAAGCACCTGCGTCTGGCGGAAGGTGAGGACGCCGTGGCGTCTCTCGAGATGTGTTCTCGAGCCTAAGAAGACTACTTTTGTCGTACCTAATGCTGGAAGTTTTGCAAGAGAGATGAGTGAATACAGCAACAATATAGTATAACATTTTTGTTATTATCATGTTTTTCTTTTATTTTACTTATGTGCCTATTGAAGTATGTCGCCTAAGAATTGAGTAGTGTAATTGGATTTGTACCGAACTATTCAAATATATAAATAGTGTGAATGTGCGGATAGGCTGTGCTATTTATTCGCCATCAGGTGATGATCGCAGCTTCTCAAATGGGTTTAGTATTTTATGAATTGTTAATAAATAACAAATTATGATGGCAATACATATAAACATTAACAGTGTAACTATTTTTTTAAAACAACTTATCCTTACAAAGATACCATTACTACTACCCTAACGCCTAAGACAAAGTCATTATTCCGCTCCAAGTTGTAATTAGTTACACTTAAACTTGAACTAGAACTAACTAGGAAATCAGCCGTTTTTGAAGTCGAAAAGTTACGGCGAAGTCTTTGACCGACGCCAGCTCCCTTCTGCTTACGAGTATTATGCATTCAAAAATCACTCATAAGATAATGGGGTATTTTACTGCGACTACTTATATACAATTGAATACAAAAATAGAGGTACAGAGGGACCTACCATATCTACCACACTAGCTACTGTCTCTCTCTTCGGCTCCTATTGGTCATAGGGCGATGTTTTATAGCCTTTAGCATTCAGGAACTACGTAGCTATTTGTCAGTGAAATAATATTGGAAATCCGACCAACGGTTCCAAAGATTACCTCCCACATACTAAATTACAAACTTTACCCCTTTATAATAATACATAGATACCTAGAGTAGATGTGAGTATTAGAAAAAGTCAGTTTTTGAACACAGCTACAATTTTAACTATACATCATACACTCCACGTAAAGGGCAGAATCGAATGACGTCAGCCAACCATTAAGTATAGAATATTGAAACAATACACGTCTTAGAACAACAATACCAGCCTGTAAAACAACACACAATGCTTTTAAAATAAAATGGCAGATAATAAGCGCGTCGCTCGTCACATTAAGGAGACTATGATCTTAAGAGATTTACTTAGTAGTAACTTGATATCGCATTGAATTTGCCGGAGACGACTCGGTGGCGACGTGTGCATCGCCGAGGGGATAACAAAGCTCGGGTCATTACAGACCAATGAAAAAATAATAGCATTGTTCGAGCTAAAAGGGACTGCGCCAAGTTTACTTGTTTTTCTAGATGGTGAAGCACATCTAGGTGCCGTCTTTCTTGTCATAATCTTTCTTCTCGTCGTATCGTCATATCGTCTTTCTTCTTTGATAATGGAGTTTCAAGTTTCTATTCAATCATTATGGTATTGTTTACGAGATTCCATTAAATTTTTCTTTATATTAAAACTGATTTTTATACGTTGTAAATAATTTTTATACGTTGTTTAAGTCGACATATACGTCACATATAAGTAAAATACGGCTACGGTGGGCGGGACGACTCAACGCCTACATAAATAATAAACAATAAGGGGGAGCAGGTTTTTACACCGAAAAACCTCAGGCAAAAAAATATATAATCTCACAGACTAAGTTACAGTTAAGTAGGCACATTATATATAAATGATCTTAATATATATAAGAAAACATGTATCAACAAAACCCTATTCAATCCGCTAAGCGAGACTTGTTAGATTTTAAAAATTCATGCTGATGCTTCTTGTTAAACAAAAGTACATGTTGAATGATGTTACAATCTAAAATCAAATTAGTTTGAAAAATGCCCTAAAATTTTGCAATAAAAAGGATCGTGAATCAAAATTGATGTGAATAGGAAGCTCATTAGGCAGCCTTCGATTCAACCGGCTCACTTTCACTATAGCCAGGTAATGTTCACCGGTATCTACGTAAATGAATAGCTAAAAATAATGTTATTTCCTTACAGTATAATAGCTTAGTTCAATTAAAATTCACGGTATGATTAGATAGATTAGACGTACCTATAGCCCAAAATTTCAAATATACATAGTACTAGCGACCAGCTTCTGCTTCGCACGGTGCAATAATCAAGTTCTATAATGTGGTAATACATATAAAAATTCCGCTTCAGTCACTCTATTCTAATGAAAAACATCGCATCAAAATCCGTTGCGCAGTTTTAAGGATTTAAGCATACGTAAGGATTTAAGCCTACAATGTGTTGGGGGAAGAGTAAGGAACTTTGTTTTAAATACTATAAATGAAGTGATTATGATCAAGAAAACATTCGATCTACTCCGGACCAACCACGAACGTCAAAGCCATATCGACTATAACATTTGCGGGAGCTGTCAAATAATAACAATGTAAACATTATAATTTTCTTTGTAAATATAGTATTGTTGGCATTATTTAAGAGCAATTTATGTAATAGTTTTACCGTAAAATGAATATAATAATAAAAACCGACAGCTGACCATCCGCATTTGTTTCCAATTTCTGTCGTGTTGCGCGCTGCGGTCGTTATCTGTCCGCCACTACTCGCTTTGCACATAGCCAATAGTTATCAACGTATTGTGAGGGTCAAAAGTGCAGCTGCACTTTACCAACGCTAAAGTGTCTTATTTGTTTTTATAGTTGAGGGTCACGTGTTACTTGACTGATTAATTTATACTGTACATACTCAAGTAATTAAAAACATGTTTTAAATTTTTGAACTTGTATTACAAAGATGTTTTCGCATTGGTAGAGTGTAAATGCACGTTTGACCCTAGATCGTACATAATTATAACTAATTATTTAATTAGAGTACCAAGTATATGTTAGATTTGTTAAGTACTTTCAACGTTCATTGAAATGTTATCTGAATGATGCACAATTCTCATTAGTCCAGGCTTTGTTTCCCGCCTGCGAAGTAACGTTCCTTTACAGTAGTGAACCAACCAACGCGCGCTTAATTATTATCAAGGTATATGAAACTGAATAACTTACAATAGAACACAAGGCCCATGAGAGTTTAAATCTTGATTGCAGAATTTGTTATCTTACTTAATTAATTTCATCAATCATAAGAAAGCGAGGGAGAAAGATATAGGGAGAGAGGCTGAATACGAGTGGCTTTGCTACCTATAAGTATTCCACACTTTACAAGAATTTCAGACTTTTTTGGCAATTTTCTTACACTCTGCGTATTTTATAGCACTACAGCATAGTACAGTACTTAAATGAACTCGCTGTGCGTAGTATTTTCAAATCACGCGAAAAGAGATATCTGGTAGTTTCGAAACCTGAATAATATTATGTTTTCAACTTTTACCAAATATTTTATATATCTATTTCAAAAAGACGTTTTACTTTCAAGAGGTACCTACACAATGAATAAAGTCAACCGCAATGGTATTCATAAAGCTTCAATCTATTGAGTAGAATCTAATGAAATGCAGATTCCTATAACAGCCCCGAGTGCAAACAAAGGGAATAATGGATGCATAATTTGCTTTGCATTGTAAAAAGATAACCTTGACTAACTTTATTATTTGTTTTTCTACGTATGGATGATTGGAGAATGTTCTAGAATATTTAATTAGATGTCTGTTTTATTACGTAAGACGGAATGGAATATGAGTAGCAGTGGGAATAGGGCCGTGTGAAGCATTACCATGTGGAAGGCATGCATTTGTTTCCCAGAAACTTGATTGCACTGGCCAGTTAATGCTAACTAATGACGGTGCATAAAACAAATTAAGCTACAATTGCTTCATTCTTTGATTATATTTCAGTTGTTTTAAATTGTTATCGATACGGACACTTATTTGCTTGCTACATTTGTTTACCATTAACTGTATTTAACTTATACAGTTGGTATCTTGAAGATTGAGGTTTCATTAGAAATCATATTAGAGTGTATTTAGTTTTGAAACTGATAAGAACCCCAAAATATCAATATTGTGTCTAGTAAAAAAATGGTATATAAGAGTAATGTAAATAATGGTACACATTTTTGCATTAAAAGTAAACAAACCTCCTTCGAGAACGACGTCTTCTTCATAACTTTCCCTCATAGCTCTTGCCAGTATTTGATGGTAGAATTGACTCGCATTAGCCTTCATTTCTGGCGTGACATCCATCTTCGACACAGCCTGGATGAGAACGGTCAGCTTCTGTTTAGCGGTTGCTATCATCTTATCAACTGTTGACAAATACATTCTGTTAACATACATAAACCTATGTACGTACTAAATACAAAACATTACAAAACAGCATCCCTGCCCATTGTTCGCTTAATTGCCAATAACAAGAGAGACATATGAACTTAATTCAAGCCAATCGTACCAGCCCCGAAACCCTTAAATCCAACGTAACCCACCTGCGACGCGCTCTGGTCAAATTTATGTTATGTCTAAAAATAAAGCCACAACAGACTGTACCCGTATTTTGCAAATATTTGTGGACAGTCCAGGTCCTCAAAGTGTTGAGGTGGATATCGGTGTCATAATGAGTAATTGCTAGGGGGTAATTATATGGGGCTGGCGCCGGTAACTTTTCTAGAACACGAGCCGCAGCGCCCGATAAGAGCCCGCTTTAAACAAAATGGACTACTTAATTTCTACTCACTGCAGGAACAGCTTATCTTATAATTAAATTAACCCTGTAGGTACCACACATGAATTCATATTAAAAACTTTATTGTTCATAATTATGCCTTTGCTTTTATATAGCTCGGGTAGGGTCGGCTCGCACCGGAGTGATACCACGGCCTCACAGAAAACCGGCGTGAAACAACCACAGCGTTGGGTTTCGCCGTGTCAGTGAGGTTACCGGAGGCCCAATCCTTCCCCAATCCCTAAATCCCTAAATCCCTAAAAGGTCGACAACGCATTTGTGACTCCTCCACGGGCGGCGCTAATTGCTTATCATTAGGTAATCCATCTGCTCGTTTGCCGACTTATTCCATAAAAAAAGGTATATTAAAAGGATGGCATCCATATCATATACCTAGCGATCGATATAAATGTCAATAATTATGGAATAGTCTCTAGTAATTAGGTATGAAGATGTTTAAAATAAATGTGAGACTTACAGTCTGATTCAGGCTCTGGTACGGGTTGTAGCATATCTTCGACCGCGTACTGGACTGCCGCCGGAACATGTGGATACGACATCGGCACAGACACCGCTCCTTACAATAAAAAAGATCCTTAATTAATTTTACGGCTTACTTATGTATGTGCTGTTCGACAGGTATCCTGACTAGTTACAGACCAGTATATGGACTCATAATCGTAAACAGGAAAGCACGATACACAACGAGACTAAGTTTCAAGAGTAAGACATAAAAAAGTTAATTTAAAATGTTTTACGAAAGTTATTATATCAAATTTAAGTTTGCTTTAAGCCAGCTTAGTCAAACTAGAGCTAAATAATTATTATATTTAAACTTGAGCCGACTCGAAATGAATGGATTTCTGTGTTCATCGGATTCATATCCTCCTCTTAATTAAATTAGTCTCAAATGTTTTAGCAACAATTGTGATTTACTTTGTGCTTTGTGAATGGGTGTCTAAAATTTGATTTAACAATAAAATCTAAAATCTATAGAAGTTAACCATGATCAATAAGAGTCCTATTGTGACTTGAAAATTGGAGAACTTTTATCGAAATCGATTTTTCTCTGAATTAATTCGCGTGAGACAAATTTTAAATTTACATATATAGTAAATATCACGATAGTTATGGTAGATCAAAAATTTTAACGTTCACTTGATGTGGTTTTATTTGATTTACTTTCTTTGCTATGTGTGTAGTTAACGATTTCATTTTGCATAAAACGTTTTCCTAGGAAATGGGTAGGTATTTCATCTGGGGCGAACTCCGAGCATGACCTACTGACGCTGACCTCGATCTGGAACTGACATTGAACTTGTCGGTACTTTCAAGTTCAATGCCACAGAGATAGACATCTCAACATGTTAACCTGTTCCAACTTTATTAATTAAATTTATTAAAACTTTTTTACTACTAGCCTTTACGTTCGTACTATCGTTTTCGATGCTAATCGAATACTCCACGATACGAGGAGAAAATCATCAAATGACTTCTTCCGGGAAGTCCCCAGGGTCAAGAGGGAGTGTCACACTCTTACTGACTAAAACCCCCCGTTCCTTTGCCTGCTCTAGCCCGAGGCCGCGGTGCTACATTGCGCCTACACTTCAACCCCAGCTAAACATTAGCCCTATTAATAGGGACCCGTCTGTGGTGGTCTATTGGCACTTTCAGGCGCGCGCGGAACGCTACGCGCCTTACGCTCGGGTCTGGATCTGGTTGGGCGGAGCTGCCCTTACTCGCCGTCCGCAGACCCGCGCTTATGGTAGCCAGAGTGAATGTCTTAAATTAGGCATCTTTGTAAAAAATCAGATTTATACGAGAAGTTAGCACAACTCAGTAATCTAAATAGTTTTTCTTTTGTTTAGTTATTTAGTTGGTAGAGTCGTAATAGTTGTAATGGTATTGAAGATTCTTTTTGGTTTATAATCCGAATGTATTGTATTCAAACAATTAATTATATGTGTGGGAGAGCCATGGTTAGGCGAGTAGCACGGCTCGACAGGATATATCATGACACCACGGTCTTATAGAATATTGGCGTAGAACTACTCTTGGGTTGTGTTTCGCCATGAGAGTGAGGTTATCGGAGGCCCACCCTTCTCTTTACCCTCAACCTAATACCATAACTCTCCTACCCTTAAATTTCTAATAAACCACAAACGGCTGGCAACTCGCTTGTTGTAACTCTTTTATTACAAGTATACATGGGTGGCATTACTTGCTTACCATCAGGAAATCTGACTGACTTATCTCATAACAAATACCTAGCGTAATTAGCGCTTCATTGTAATTTGTACTACCGTATGAAATATTAGTTACGATTTCAAAACAAATTAGATAGTAAATATACACCGTACTCAGAGACATTAAATGATTACTTAAAATATTCCTAATTTGGATAGTTCCTATCCAAGTGATTTTATTCCAAAGTACGGTAAATAGTAAAAGGATAAACTCCCTATCTAAAACTCTTTAAAATCAGAAGTGATTTAGACATGAATGCGTATCTAACTAACGAACTTTGACGGGTAGAATATTAATAGAATATTGGAATGATAAACAATACAAATTTAACCTCACGCATACATTAAATCCATAGAACTCCTACGCATAATTAGATAGACAGGTTTTGTTGAGTTTCGTAATAATATTCCAATAAGTGAGTAAACAAAATGATAGTTCCCTTACCGACGCATGACAGTAATTCATTAATTTGTTGCAAAGAGGTTCGCGTTTCTATTATGAGTCTACCCTTATTATCAAGGGCCTTCGTCAGTTCCACTTCTTCGCGACTCTCAGCTTCAATTTGGGATCGAAGTTGTCTCTTTTCCGTCAAAAATCTGGAATAATTTTATCAAATCAGAACAATATAAATACTATAATATATTGTGTCTCCTAGTAAAAATTAATTTGCTTCGCACGGAACAAAAGTAGTAGTAAGTATTTATTTATTTAATCCTAAATTGTTAAACATATTTCCATCATTGCATTATTAACAATTGGTTATACCTATAATTAAATATTTGAAAATATGATTGAAAGAATATTTTTTTATAAAACGTTTTTTTTTTTTATAAACTGTTGTCCTTTAAATAAACGGGCTTATCTACTCATATTTTTCATACTTTCATCTTCACTATGGAAATTCTTATTAAGAAGTAGGTATACATACAATCAATACAGTTGAATGGAATTCTGACAGTACAGTCACACAAACGTAAGCTATCGCTAAAGCTAATATATGACTCCGTAAACTCATCTACCTAATGTCGACTACATCTTACTAGCTTATACCTAAAAATATTCTTAAATATATGCAAAATAAAAAAAACTATACGCTGTCTCTTTTAACCAATTTATAATCGGACTAGCTACTCTCGAGCAGTTTCACCCGCTGCTCCTCTATATAATTGTAGCGTGATGTTTTATAGCCTATAGCACTCAGGAACATTGTAGCTATCTATCAGTGAAAGAATTTTGGAAATTCGACCAGCATTTCCAAAGATTATCCCCTACATACGAACTTACAAATTTTACCTCTTTATAATATTAGTGTAGAATTATAGATATGAAGAGAAAGGTAAGTAAATTGCATTTCTCAGAATCATCTTCTCTTCCTTAATGTAGGTATTACAAATATACGTTCCGTATATGAAGCTATTAAATAAATTTTAATGACATTTTGTGTTAAATATGCAAATGTGTTAAATAAAATAATTCCTCGTATCAACGTAAGCACCTACGAGTGCCAAAGTAACTAACGGTTTGAGGAAACGCTACTAAATTAAATACATTTGGCTCGCGGGAAATAAGGCAAACGTAATTTCACAGAAGCCATGATAGTTTCGAAAATGAATAATGAAATTAAACGGATATTAATATCCTCTAGCGAGGAAGATTCCATGGGTCACATCGGTTGCTTACGGTCAGTGATGAGACTGACCGTAAACCTGGTTGTTACCAGTCAACACCGCCCATGGACACATGCAACATCCGAGGAGATGCCAGTAGGTTACTGACCTTTTAGCGATGAGGGATTTTTGGGATTAAGGGATAGTAAAAGGAATAGGACTGATAAAGGATGGAACCCCGGTAAATATATTATTTCTTACCAGCATATTAAAAACGATCGGCATGTTAAGAATAATAATATAGTATATTTAAGTAGCCAGCTAATCGTTAGAGTACCTACACTATGTCTATAAGACACTGACTGACTGAGAAAACGATATAAATAAATTCAACACATTATTCAAGTTTTGTAGTCATCAGTTTATTATAAAAGGGCATTAGTGACGCACATGTAAACATGTTGTGCCCTTGTCACTTCGTTTAAATTACACACAAAGCCAAAACTTTGTACGTAAACGAGTCTAGACATAAAATCAAGCTGTAGTCGAGTTGTTACGCAAGTTTTTACAAGCGTTTTCATCTACGTACGGCAGTTATTAAAATTAAATTCTTTTTCTTCTCCCTCTTTTTTCACTTTGCTTTTCTTTTGTTTGTCAGTGACGGAACAAAACTTTAAAGTATGCTGTAAGAACATCCGTCCGTCTGTAAGACAAAATGTGACAAAAACACGTTATGTTTTTGGCTTAAAATTATAATTACGAAGTTAGTCTTGCGTATTTTTAACTGACTTTTTAAATGGTGGGTTGCCTTCCCACTAATAAAACACCACAAAGCTGTGGTAGACTAGTAAAATTGTTATAGTAAAATATTATCAATGCGTGAACATTGTTTTAAATACATTTTTTCTATGAAAAAGGTCTGCTAACGAGCTGATGGATTACCTGATGGTAAACAATCAGTATTGGGCCTCCGGTAAACTCATTCACACGGCGAAACACAATGCTGTGGTTGTTACACGCCTGTTTTTTGTAAAGCCGTGGTATCACTCCGGTCGAGCCGACCAATTCGTGCCGAAGCTTGGCTCCCCACACTCACTATATACGAGGGGTGGCTGATATATAATCTACTTTGTTCAATAAAGTTACAAAAATGATACTGGCCACTATGAAGCTTTAATACTTATGTATTCCTTATTTGAAAATAATAGCATTCATTTGTTTTAATTGTTTTCATTACGAATAGTCCACTAACGTAGTAAACATGTTGGATGAAAATAATAAAATGCTTAGAATTGAGCAGCGTGCCGTGATTAATGTCCTAACTAAAGAAGGAAATACTCCTTCGCAAATAAAACAACGAATGTCCAATGTGTTTGGTGATTCATGTCCTTCCGATTTTGTTATTAAGTTTTGGTCTTAACAATTTAAAAATGGCCGTGTGAGTCTGGAAGACGATCCCCGTAGCGGATGGCCGGTTTCTGCAGTCACAGTAGACACGGTGGCTCGAGTGAAAAAAATAATACTCGCAGATCGGAGAGTCAAGCAGTGGGAAATCGCTAGGGATGTCAGGATTAGTAAGGAACGTGTTCACGTTATTATTCACGAACATTTAGGGATGATAAAGGTGAGCGCCCGATGGGTACCGAGAATGCTGACGCTCTTTGATAAACAACGACGCGTCGAATGTTGTGAGGCATTTTTGGACCTAGTAAAAGACAGATAAGAAGAAATTATCTCTAGAATAGTAACCTGCAACGAAACCTGGATTCGCCAATGGGACACCGAAAGCAAACAGGAGTCTTTACAGTGGAAATTTAAAGGGGAGAAACCACCGCGCAAGTTTAAGGTTCGGCCATCAGCAAGCAAGCTTATGGCAACAATTTTTTGGGATGTCGAGGGGATTCTTTTGATAGATTACCTACCAAAAAATACTTCGATGAACGCAGTTTACTACGCCAGCTTACTTGACCAATTGCGAGAAGCCATTAAAGAAAAACGAAGAGGCAAACTCGGCAAAGGAGTTTCAATTTTGCACGACAATGCTCCGGTCCACACAGCTTTACATGCAAGGTCAGCCTTAAGCAAGAATGGCTTCAAGGAACTAAACCGTCCACCCTATAGTCCAGATTTGGCCCCTGTGACAATTTTCTATTTAGAAATTTGAAGAAAAGCCTAAGAGGGAGGCAATTTTCGACCGATGAAGAAATGAAGGCAGCTGTGGATGACCATTTTGACGACCAATCCAAGAAATATTTTTTTGACGGTTTAGTGTCGCTTATTGACAAATGTAATAAGTGCATTACGGTAGCAGGGGACTATATTGAAAAATAAAAAAAAAATGAGCTTCCTATGTCTTTTCTTTCTATGTTAGGTAGATAACTTTCCAGCCATCCCTGGTATGTACATATTTTTAAGATTTTACTTAATAAACACAAAGTTCGGTTTAAAGCAGCGTTTTAATGTGGCAACAGACGCAAGATCTCCACTAACAGTTTTCTTTACTGGGGCCAACCTAGTAAGCTTTGGATGATAAAGGACCAGGTACTGTTTATAACAGGCCTGTTTCTACTTTTATTTTATAATAAAACATGAGTGCATTTTCACTTTATGACTACCGAATACACCCCGTCGAGGGTGGCGCCAACGTCTTAACACCTACTCATTTTCGCATCTGATCAGAAAGATCAAACTCGAGTAGTCGCGAGTTTTACCTACGCTAAAATTAGTCAGTCAATAAATCATATCGAACAGGCGTGTATATTATGTGGTGGCCTGGAGTTTAAGGCACCGCTACAAGCATGAGTGTATAGGGAAAGTCAGAGGGGAACGAAATGTGCCGAGCACCAATATGATGTTTCCCAATTTATATATACTTGCTAAGATTGTTAAACATCATTGACATAATTTCTGAATTAATGGTCATTCCTTCTCCTGTTGAGAAGAGGCCTTTTTTTCAGCAGCATACATAGGCTGGTGATGTAACTTGCTGTGATACTCTGTGTAACGGAGTGTAAATCACTAGGTTTCCAAACAATAGGCATATGTTCGGTTTGTTCACGTTGATTTATTTTAAAGCTTTTATGATATTGTACTTTTGATATTTGAATATAACATTTTATTTCCATTCGCAACGCTGTAGCCTGCTTCCCGCGTACTGTGAAATATTTGTAACGATCTACAACTGAAAGTGTCATTTTTCACCAAAAATGGAATGCAAGAGTTATATTTTATTGAATACTTTACCGCGTGAAATATTTATGTTCACGTTTAGTAGACGTTGCGCGGCGTTTTATATTATAGATGACAGTGTGTGCGCTATCTAAATATAAAGTAAGTAACATGTTAGTTATTATAGGTGATCTTATTAATAGGTACGGCACGACTTCTCTTCGCAGTACCACTTTGCGTACCTACAAGTCGTAGCGAGTGACAAATCTGTACATAGAGTGACAATAAATAAATAATTCACCACCTTAGACGTGACCCCTGGGTACCCAGAAACATCTATTTGTCTTAATTCTGTAACAATTACTTTTTCGTTTAGTAACATTACTGTACCATTTTCAGCTAAATTACAAAAAACAAGCCTGTGAACTTATACAAGGAAGTTTTATTAAACAAATAATTGCTGCACAAAACTCCTGATCAGTTAAGGAATAAAACAATACAAAAACCTGAACCATTACAAAGTACAAACTGACTTTTTAATTGAATCTGTCAAAACAAACAAACATACGCCCTTGAACGGTTCGACGAAACTACATGAGCTACGAGCGAACTGCGTAGAACTTGCGGACCCGAATCAATATTGCATAAAGCTTTGAATACATCACGAAATCAGACGCCATTTTTTGTAGCCTTGTCAATTGTAAGAGTATCATAAACCACCTTGTCAAAGTCAGTTCGGCAAATATATATCGTCATCTATGCACAAAGATGCACCAGGACTTTAGCCAAGGCCGTCCTTTGTACTTATTGACTTCAAAACT